ATCCCCGGACTGTGGCAACCCTCGTTCATGAGGCATAACTTTTTATATAAAAAATCTACAAAGCAGTGATTTTTCAGAGCTGCGTCGATACCGATAACTTTCAAAGTTCTGGAGGACGAAGTGAAGATGGACAAGCGGATCACCCGATTCGTTCTGCCGATCGGCAACTTGAATCTGAACGGATCCGCGGCGCACATGCCCATCAGCCTCCTTTTCATCGCTCAACTCAACGACATCGATCTCGGGGTTGGAGACTACGTTAATTTGCTGTGAGTAGAAGCATCACGAATCCTCACCAGTCAAACTTAGAACTAAGATTTAGCATGATTGAACCAGCAGCCTGCTTGTTGAAAATACCGGTATGACAGAAATCGAAAATCTATATATTACACAACGAAGATAGGGCTGTGTCTCGTATTATCTTCCCGCCAAAGCCAGCGGGCTGATTGTTGAAGTTGATAGACAAAGCTTTAGACAAAGAAGACAGTAAGGATACTATTGGAGGAGGCAAGTGGCTGCAATGGACAAAAGAGATTGGTGATAGAGTAACTGATGGCAACCACGAGAGACCCTTTAGTTAGTCCATCATTTTCACCCTTAGTCTATATGAACCACCCGAATTAACCAAGAGGATCGCTTTCTACTCATCACGTCCTCTGTGTCTATCGTTTTGTCTATGAATTTCAACAATCAGCCCGCAGTTGAAGTTTCAACAATCAGGCTGCTGAGGTGAGACTCCCTTCATTGATGCAATCTGCTTGATGCATTTTGGAGCTACCTTTATCATCAGTGGCATGATTCTCTTTGGACTCGTCAATACTGACTACGCATGATTAAAACTACTCCTACTTCAGAGGAGAAGAAAGAGAAGAAACTTATAAGAACGTTGAAACGGGCAGCGCTAACTACAGATGATGCATTCCTTCGTTGACGTTAAGTCCGTAACTCCGTTACATCTAGTTAGATATACCCATCTCAACGCTCTAATCAGTTTTTGAAGTTTCGTAATTATACTCGTAGTGATACAAAACGGAATAAAGTAATCATATTTAAACTCTTTTGACATTTTAACTCCTCATGGGGGAATATTTTCGTTTGAAATGACTTAACTTTGATTCGTAGAACCCACCGAAATTCAACAGTTCAGGTGACAAAGCATTTCGATCACACAGGAACAGAACCACACAGCTAACCAGTTTCCAAATGTCACACTGAAACTCACCTCGGATTTTTGTTCCCCACCAAATACTTCGGTTATTTGATAAGAAGTTTGGTTTCTGGTCGAAACTTTGGTGGGTAATGTGACGAAGTTTCTTCCTCCGTGAAAACTTAATATTTAAAATACTATACGTTGATTTCCAAATTTGAACAGAATCACGATAACATTTTTGTCGATGTCGATGGCAACGGTGCCAAGTGCTAGTTTGATGATGACCGTCATGTTGTGCAGCACCATCAACGCTCCTCTTGAAGACGTCTCACTCCTGTTTGCCACCGACTGGCTTTTGTAAGTTCAATTTTATTGGCTCAATGATGATTCAAACTTGGCGTTTGAACAGATCCTATTATTTTTTCCTCATCTATCACTTTCATTAAAATACTAGTCTATGACTAGTTCGTTTGCTTCAGCGTTACTCATATTTTTTTCTGAGTATGTCGTTTTGGTGTTCAATAATACTAACTTTCTAAATTTAGTATTAGTGACTGGCTTTTGTAAGTTCAACTTTATTAGCTCAATGATGATTCAAACTTGGCGTTTGAACAGATCCTATTATTTTTTCCCCATCTATCACTATCATTAAAATACTAGTCTATGACTAGTTCGTTTGTTTCAGCGTTACTCATAATTTTTTCTGAGTATGTCGTTTTGGTGTTCACTAATACTAACTTTCTAAATTTTGTATGAATACGACAGATGATTTCCACACTCTGAGGTGTTGGAAATCATTTCTTTTCAGCTAAGAACTTCTAACAATTTTTATCCTAAGTATAATTGTGACCTCTCTAAACTGAATGTGTAAGTTTCAAATAGTTCCGAACACTGACTCTTAACTTCACGTTAAAATAATTTTCCAAATCAGAGTGAACTTGTTAATGTGTACTGATAAATTACATGTATTTGTGTATTTGCTCATTACAGAGACAGAATAGAGACAGTGAACAACGTATTGGGAGATTGTTACACCGTTGCTGTAGTTCAAAAACTATCGGCCAAAGAGCTAGCATCTTTGAGACAGGTAAGAGAATGGACGGAGAATAGATATAGAAATAATATATTTTAGAAAGTATGAATGCTATCATGTGTATGTGTGGATAAAATCTACTTTCATGAGTTAATGCTAAAATGTGTCCAATAATGACTCAAGACCAAAGACGTACGGTAGACTAGTTATCATCAAAAGCTGGTTTTTGAATTAACCGACCTCGTACTAATCTTAGTATGGATTCAAACTTCCTTTACATTTTATAGACGAATCTTTATTAAAATAATTTAAACGGAATTCTTTGTTTATGTTAAGATGTTAATGCAAGCGCAGAGAGGCAATGTAGTTTTCGAAGTTCATATGCAGTGCTTTCATTCCTCAGTAGGGTAGATGTCACAGCCTCAAGAATACAGGCAAAAATCTGACTGAACAGGCTGAGAAAATTTACCACTTTATATGAGAAATACCCGTAAAATGCCCACGTTTTGTTTAAATTGTCATAGTGCTATACCGAGGAATATTTCCTTTTAATGTTTACATACTTTATGATAGATAAAAGTTGAAGTAATAACTTAGGGTCTGGAATGAAGATGCACCATAAAAATACTCGTGTATTGTTTTGGAGTTTACTGATCGTTTTTGTAATTTTAAAATTGATCGGCAAGCTATCTGATTCTCTATTTGAAATTAATTAATTTGATTCCAGGAAAAAAATGGGACCCTTCAACAACTGAAAGAGAGTAACATCGACGGTAAATCAGTGTAGCAGGTGTAGCTGGTTGGACGAAGAAAATTTAAGCAAGAATTCACAATTTAATAAAAATTTGTCTCCAGTCGTTGAAGTCAAATGAGACAAAAACTAAAGTTTTGTATATTACAATGGAAGAAAATCTGCATTCACCGTTGATACTATTTGAAAAAAAGGAGAGAAAAAAATCACACCCAAAATTTAAACGTTCGTTAATTATTTTTTCACTTTCATTGAGCTTTCCTCTTTTCCTCAACTTCAGGGCCCGAGAATGTTCTTCACTTCTAATCAGTGAGGTTATATTTAAAAATATTGTCCAAGTAAATTTGTTCTCCTAAACCATCAAGACAGAAAATAACCGGGAAAAAATTCACTGAAACGATTTCTCTTGTGATCAACTAAGGACTGCGGCGTTTAGTGAAATCAAGCGATTGACGGGTTGCAGTCGCGGTTATTGAAGGAGTTTCGCCATTCCATAACAACTGCGTTTTTTAGGTACGAACTTGCCCTACACTGCCCACCACTGAAATTTAAGTTCAATCGTACTTCCGTGCTTTCATTTACTAATTTCTTAACGTAAAGAATATCAAACTCGGGAAACTAAGAAAAAATGCATTACAGAGTCACTATAAAATCGATTGGAATCACCTGACTCGATTAGATTCTTCGGAGATAAAATAAAGCTAGAGAGTCGATCTTATCTGATAAAATATCTACAATAAACGTTAAAACCACGTATTATCATTGAGGGTTTTCAAAATGTATTTCCACTTCTTTTGTGTTTTTTCGTTTATGGAATATTCTGTAGGCAGAGAAGAACTATCAGGGAACTTTTCAGGAGAAATAAAGTATGGCTTAAAGCCTGATGCGTTGCGAACGAAGATACAAGGTTCCGTACTTCGGTCATTGATATCATTACTTTTAAAAGGTGTTCCCATCCTATAGGCATGTGGACAGAGGCCTTGAAACAAAAAAAAAGCGACAAAAATTTACCCAAAAACGACTTCCAGAGGGTGAATCTATGGTGTGTGTAGACTTGAAATCGCTAAAAATTAAAATCTTGGCTGATCCAATTTTCGAAAAATCGCAATTTGAAATTAGGTTGTAAACGCAATATGTTACTGTTTTAGATCGAGTTTCTCCGCGTAAAGTACTGCTCATCTGAAACATGATGATAGTAGAGTGAAAATATTGTAATATACATGGTTTAGATGTCCAGGAAGAGGAAATCGCCTTTTGAAATTCCGAACCCCCCCCCCCCCCCCCCATTCACGAAGTCAGCCAAAATTGCTGCCGCAGGGGTGAGCAAATCATTACCGTGAAAAAACGCCAAGTGAGGTATCGATTCCACTGTTCTTTTGGTGGCGGAGTCCAAATTTTAAGTCAAAAGCCGAATTTCATGCAAAGAATTCCCCTCTCCTCTCAATTCAAGAGGACAGCCGAGACTGCTACCGCAGGAGTGAAGAAACACCCTGAAACAACGCCGAAGGAAGTTTAGATTCCTATGTTTTTTTGGTGGCAGAATCCAAATTTTAGGCCTTGTCCACACGAGCGCGGTTCGCGGAACTTATTTCGAGGAACTTGTTCCCGGAACAAGTCTTAGCTAAGCTGAAAACTTATTCCTCCTAAACCCGGAACTTTCCCCGTACTCCGAGCTTCTACATATGTTTCTTTCGATGTGAATTTGTTTGTTTTTGATTTTTACGTCCTTTACTTGGCTTGACATTTATTTTTGTTACTTTGGCGGCCGTAATAATCTATTATTTTGCAATAATTGTATAGTTTTATTGAAGTTCCGGTTCCAGTTTGGGCGAACTCGTGTGGAGAGCATCCCTCCTTTCAAGGAACAAGTTCTGGGAACTGAGCAGTTCGTCGAATAAGTTCCTCGAAACACGCTCGTGTGGACAGGGCCTTAGGTTAAAAATCGACATTTCATGCAAAGAATGTTCCAAATCCGAGGTGGTAGCTGAAAGCCAGGTACAGACAACGCAAGCTCTCTGGATCTCTACGGGTGGCGGGTTAAATGTCGAGCGATTCACGGCTGAGGTCTTCCATCTCATACAAGTCCCGATTTTCAAAAACGTAGGAGAAAAAACGGGAAACAAGACTAAAAAGTACACATACGAATCCGAGGCGTTTTGGCTCAAATTTTCAGTAGGAATAATAAAAATAAAATATAAAAGCTACAAATAGAGACCTGCAGACTACATGATGGCCAAGAAAATCAAAACAAATCTTGTTCTTGACAAATCAGGTCTTTGTTTTGATTTTCTCAGCCATCATGTAGTCTGCAGGTTTCTATTTGGAATTTTTGTATTTTATTTTCATTCTTCCGACTAAAAATGGCTCAGTTTGGATTTGTATGTGTACTTTTGAGCCTTATTTCCCGTTTGTTCTCATATGTTTTGATATCACCATTGTCACGGACTGCTGCTTTAGAAATTTTAACCTATGATTTTCAAAAATTGACATGGTAACTACGTCACACAAAAGAAGTCTATCTTTAATTTTAAATTTAGGTAGAGGACTTCGTTGGTTCGGAAATTTTGGCACCAGTCATAAACATATTGACAGAAATAGTACACTTTAGGTTCGCCTTCAATTTAACATAATAGGCAACAAACTGACGGAAGAGCGCGAATAGTTAACTATTCAAAAATCATAAATTAATCACTCCATTGAGCCTCTTATACTGCCGAGCTAAGGAAGAACGCCGTATGAGCCTCTTATACTGCCGAGCTAAGGAAGAACGCCGTATGAGCCTTCAGACGTTGCCAAGTTTCCATCGATAAAACCCGAATTTACTTGGAAAATTGCGAATATGATTTTCTAAAACTTTCTGACAATTTTGTACGCAGTTTGATCTAAAATATCTGAAAATTTCAAGGGAAAATATGCATGAATGTTGTCAGAAATACACGGTTTATCAAGGGAAATGTGGTAACTCTCGAATGTTCATACGGCGTTCTACCTTAGCACGGCAGTATTAGAGGTGAGAGGTTCATCACCGAAGTTCTTATTTAAAATACGTTTTCTCGACTTAAATTGTATCACAATAGAAAGAGAGCGGGTAGAAAAGCTCAATACTACTCCTAAATCATTTTCTTCCAAAATAAAATTTGGTTTATTTCTATTTAAATCAGTCCATACTCGGGAACTCTTTAAGGCTCCGTAAATAACGTACAAACCGCATGGGGCCTCCGCAAGGGAAGGAGCTCATTCTGCCGTACTAAGAAAAAACGCCGTAAGGACCTTCAGACGTTGCAAAATTTTCTTTGATAAAACGCAAATTTCTCGGTAAATTTATGGATATTTTCCTCCCAATTTTTCAGATAATTCAGTGCGCAATTTCACCTGAAGATTCTGAAAATTTAAAGATAAAATATCCATAACTTTCCTTAAAAATAAACATTTTATCGAAGAAAATTTAGCAACTCTCGAATGCTCATACGGCGTTCTTCCTTAGCACGGTAGCATTAAGGTACGACTATGATCACGACCCAAAGTCTCATATTAATAGTTCTGAAGCAGTGACCTTGGTGTTCTGTCTAGCCCGTATTTTCCTCAACTCGCACTTATTTTCTTTTTTCCTCCTCAACGCAATGTGATGTAATACGACCCATTTCAAAATTAAAATAACCGCTGATTCAAAATATGCCAAAGGTCAGGGGTCCCCGCAGACTTCGACCGGAGATAGCGCCTATTTCACACTTCAAAAATCTGAACTTAATATTATGCAGATGCGCAGCGCACCGTTTTGAAGCGTTTGGGTTCTTGTGACGTGGATCGAATACATTTTCACAGCTCGTTTGTTGTTGTGCTAAAAGATCGTAGTTTTAATGGAGTAAGGATGTATCTCTACTTACACATGAGACCCGGAGAGTATGACGTTTTACCGACACAAGGGCTCACGTGAAAATTGAGATACGCCCTTACGTCAGGGGAGAAAATAGAAAAAACAGGTAGCTTGGCTTGCCGATACTTTTCTCTTCACGAAGAATGAAAAAAGGACAAGAAATTAATGTTTTACGGTTCAAGAAGGACCCGCTCCTCACACCCGATTTATTCATAAAATATATACTGTAATATAAACGCCATTAAATTAATTCTTGTATTGGACAAAGAACCTGCGGGACATAGCCAGTCTCAGAAACCAGTTGCACAATTAAATTACAGGTGCGGTACGCTCATCGACATCGAATTTCGGTACACGTTGGTTTTTGATACAATTAAATGAGTAATCTTGTTTGATTATTTAACGTCCGCGCCTTATTGCCGCTCGGCGGCTTGAATTAGACATAATTACGTTAAAAGAAACTATGTGCATAGGGTTTGGTTGGAGCATAGTTCCTTTTAGCATCACATCAATGCGTCCAATTATTGGACCATTTTATGATATTCCTCCGTGTAAAGTAAGAGCCTTAGTTACGCATAAGTTGTACTGCCGTGATAAAACGACCGCGTAATGATATTGAAGACTCCTAGATTATGGACTTATGGCTTGTTGTTAATGCAGCATTTTATATAAGTGTCAAATAGTCAAACTAAGCATTTTCACAAATGCCGAAGCAATTCGTCAAATTTTGCAAAATTGACGAGGTTTTCCATATTTTGACTTAGAGTACTCTCGTTTTTTAATGTTTTTGAGCTGATGTTGTTATGATACAACTATTTCGCCTTCTACATGGGTAAAATTGTATAACCACAAAATGAAGGAGAATCTCTTTTCGGCTGATTCAGAGACTTAAACGCAGGAATAAGAAAACTGGAAGGGGCAAAATGAGTGATACAACAATTTCGACTTCCACAAAACACATAAATGTGCATATACACAAAATGAAGGAGAAAATGATGCTATTTATCATTCAAACTATTAGATTCGTCAATTTTCAGTTAGTGTAACGTAACGTTCGGTTCGTATGACCGAACTTACGAGGTTAAAAAAACTAATGAAAGAAGTTTGGTGTTACACGAATTAAAAATTAGTTTCATTTTAAAGAGAGAACGCTCGACGCACTGATTTTTACGAAAACGTATGACTAAGATGTTGATACTTTGTAGAAATTTTTTTTTTTTGTACGTCACATTAGTGGTTTTAAGATTTCCAAGGAAACACCCAGATCCGTAGAAACGTTTGCCTAACAACAAAACTGCACAACAAAAAATTTTGAAGAGCTTAGTGAAACTAGAAAAGCTATTGATGCAA